CCCCAAAACCCCAAAACCCCAAAACCCCAAAAGGCTTAAAATTTATTGGAAAGCTTAATTATTAAATCATTTCAAGATGAAGTTTTGTTGTTTAAGTAATATTCTCAGCTCTAAATACGATCTTTCGTTCATGAACATTAAAATTAGATTATTTAAAAAAATTTAGTAAACTTTTACCAAAAAAATATATTTCTCAGAGCACTAAAACTAATTCCCTTCAAACTCATTTCATCCAACTCATATCCCCCATCTCCAAAAGCCTCAGCCCATTAAATTCCATTTTAAACCCCTCCAAACCCCCAAAACCCACCTCTTTTCCTTCTTCCCCACACCTTTCTCCCAAAATCCCAACCCCACAGCTCTCCATCACCCCTCCAGTCCCTCTCCCCCTACCCCCTATAAATCCCTTGAATCCTCTCCTTCCCAATCCTTCTCTAACTCCCACTATAAATCCAGACCTGTTCAAATTCCTTAGTACTAAAAATACCAATTACAGTACCTAAGGTTCTAAATATAGAGTTTTTTAAGGAACTTATTCTGTGTGGGTGGAGAATATGTGTGTTTAGGTATTAATTTAGTAGAAGGTTTGGGGAAATTGGGGGTTGAGCGAGGTACTTGGGAGCGGGGGTTTTGGGGTTGGTTGGGTGGAGAGTTTGGTTGAGCTTGTTGGTTAGTTGTTTTGTGGGGTTTAGTGGTGGAAGGCTTTGGAAGTGGTGTTGGTTGTGAATTTTAGGGATGGTTTGATGTAATGAATGGCGGATTAAACTTATTTTTAGAGCTGAATGGAAATAGTTACTTTAAATCTTTGTATGTTCGCTCTGGTTCATAGCTACAGAATGGGTGTGTAGAGGAGCTTAAGTCTCTTACAGTCAAGCATAGCCATGATGTGAGTAACCAACTTCATAGGGATAGCTTATTTTAGGGTTTTAAACACTTGCTTGGGATGAGGGGATTTGTAGTTGCAGCAAGAACTTCTGGGATGGCAGTCAAGGCTTTGAAGCGGTTGTTTCTTTGGGAACTTTCTAGAAAATTTTAGTTTAAATTAATTTTTGAGAACTATAAATGTCAAGAGGGAAGCTTTTTCTTGGATAGTATTAGGTGTTAGATAGTATTATTTGGTGTGCTGTTGTGGTGAACAGTTATTAATTTATATATCAGGATGTTTTTCTCCCTCTTCAACTCCATTAAGACAAAAATTCTTCCAAAATTAACCAATTTCAAACAAAACAAAATTCTAGATTGTTCCATCAATTTTTAGATTAAATTTTTCTTTCAGTAGCAGTCTAAGCAGACCCAAACAGCAGAGAGAAAACACTGGGTTCCGCTTATCTTTTCTCGGAGTGTGATAAAGATTTATAATTGATTGCCATCATTGGGTTGTGAAGACTTCAAGGTTGTTTCACGAAGGATAAAGATTCTTCTCATAATTAGACATAAAATTGCTCTATTTGAATGAATAATAGACAAGAGTAGAGAAATTATCATTTTAATGCTAATAATATTAGTCCATGAGCAAAGAAGACCTTATCTATAAATGATTCCTTTAAAATTTTCCAGCAAATAAAGAAGTTCGATCTGGAAATCCATCTAACATAACAGGGCGGTGTGTCTCTGTAGAACTCTTATATGAAAGAAATAAAAGCTGTAGAAGCATTGTTTTTACTATGAAATATTATCATCTCAATGAGTTTTCAGAGACTCTCTGTTCTCTAAAACCAAATAGATATACCAACTTTCTGCCTCATGAGATGACTTAGTCCTCTGTAAGAGAAAAATTGGGTTTTAATCCCCATAACTTGACTAAAAAGACAATAACCAATGCAAATCAAAAATTTCCAACACAAAGATATTAAAATCTAAAATGGTTATATTTTTTGAATCTCTCCTTGGCTTGCTTTGTTCAAAAATTATATCGAACTTTGGATAATCAGGATTGTCTAGACAGCGCTTTGGCTTTCAGAATACCAGATCCAACAATTTTCTTCATTATAAGCAAGTTACTTGTCTTTTTCAAAGAAAGTTCCAGAACATTAAAAATCTAACTGTGCTTGACACTTCCATAGAATTTTTGAAAACTTAAGATTTCAGAGTTGTTATTCAGAGCTTTAGTGCTGAGAGTCTTTCTAGAATTTATAGATAACTCAAATCGATGCCTCTGGGGACTTGATGTAGAGAGCCGCTCAAGAGTCTTGCCTTAACTAAGCAGAGTTACTTAAAAATAAAATGGAGAGTTTTGAAAACAGAGAGGAGGAAAAATTCAATTTTCATCATTATATCCATTCTAATTTCCCTAATCAAAGTTTTGAGTTATGAGAAGTTGGATAATTATACTTTTAATCTGTTATTTAGAAACAATAGATTAATATTACTCCTAAAATTAGCAATTATAGTTAAAAAAATCGGGAGAAATTTCTAGAATATATCTCCAGCCCATTCACCGAAATATTGACTTTGAGAGGATACTCTCTTAGAATTCTTGGAAACTTAAATTTTCTGGAAAATCAAATTATTCGATTGTAGATCCAATGACTTATAAAGCCTCTGTTTAAGACTAATGAGGCCACTCTTGCCATGGCCCTAGTACAGATGTGAAATATATATGAAGATTTCTCCAAAATTGTTGCAAAATTCTCTTGTCAAGACTTAGCCAAACTTTGCTAATATTGAGGAAAGTTTGACCTTAAAAGAACCTCCACCAAGGATATGACCAGTTAGATTATAACTTTGAGGCTTAAAAGCCATAATATATCTGCACGCCACCGTCAGGACTGAATCTGGTAGGAGAAGGAGAGCAAAAATTATATTTTGTGATGGAAATATTAAAATTTTAGATTTTGTTCTAGAACAACTTATATGCTTCCCTGAATAACACTCCTTTCATGTTTCTACCAGGGTCTGAGAGGCTAGCATGAAGGCTTTTAAATTATCACTAATGTTTGATTATAATTGAGGCTAAAAGCTTCCTATATTATGGCAGTTTTCATTAAAAAATTGATAAATTTGGGAATATGGCAAAGTTAGAAGAGAAACAATGAATTCTTTGATTGATTTAATAAAGCCAGAGACCTTCTCACTATTTATGAATGGAACTTATATACCTCGGTTATTGCTATACATTTGGATTATCTATCCAATCATTTGCTTTGATTTTTGTGCCACCACATCTTTGAAAATATTCGAAGATGGCTGCCATTATTATATAAGAAATAAAATTTGTATTGTATAATATTAAAAATGAAAGCTTCCAATTTTTGCTGAAATCCAAACCTCACGATTTTTCAGATGCATGATTACTCAAGCATCATTAAAGAGCTTAACTCAATATACTGAATGGGTAAAATTGAGCCAGAAGAGACATCTCTTAGCAATTACTGCCTTTGCTTGTCTGGGTCAAGTCCAACAAAGTTCCAAAATGTTCTAGAAAATAATGCAAAATGGTAAGATATACCTAAATTTTATTGATAAACTTACTTGCTGGAACTTGTTATTTACATGATATATAGAACAGAAATAGTGCAAGAGAAAGATTGTAACACCAAGTCTACTCCACAGGCACCAGATAACAACACTATCCAAGCCAAATATCAGACGAGTTTGTCTGAAGGTGAAACAATGACTGAAGAAAGCAAGCAAACAAGAAATCCTCTTCCAGTATTAAAGAAGAGAAAGAGGAAGACTTATGAATTAGACATCAGGCCAAACCTAGTCAAGTTAAGAGCTCATATTCTTAATAAGCATGTTTCTGGGTTTGTTTCTCAATCAAAGAAAGCTAAATGCTCGAATAAGAGACCCCTCTCAAGAAGATCAAGGTACATTGGAGTGTCTAGGAATAATGAAAACTGGCAAGCCCTTATCAATGTTGGTAAGGTCAAGAAGTACATTGGTACATTTGTGGATGAGCTTGAAGCAGCAAAGGCATATGACCTGTACTCAGTAGCTATAAGAGGCGAAGATGCATCACTCAACTTTGATTATACTGCTGAAGAGATGCTGGAAAGGATCGAATACTATCTTGGAAACAAGTCTTCCTAATTTTCCTTAATCTCCGCATTTATTTCTAATTCTCTAAAAGACTATTGCCAAATTAATTCCTATAGCTTGGGGTTTTGGGGTTTTGGGGTTTTGGGGTTTTGGGG